GGATGAACACAGCAGGCCAAGCAGCATCATAAGAGCAGAGAGGCTCCTCTCTGCTCCTATGATGCTGCTTGGCCTGCTGTGTTCATCCAGCCCTGCACCTTGTTGTCCATGGATGAAAAGTTGGCTTCCGTGATGGTCTGGGCTGTGCATACCACTTTCTGTAGTTTTTTATGGTCCTGGGCAGAGCAGTTGCCATACCAGGCCATTATGTACCCAGACAGTATGCTTTCAATGGTGCATCTGTAGAAGTTGGTAAGGGACCTTATGGACATGCCAAATTTCCTGAGCCACCTGAGGAAGAAGAGGCATTGTTGCGCCTTCTTAACTGTCACATTTATGTGGGAAGTCCAGGACAGGTCGTCAGTCATTGTCATTCCAAGGAACTTGATGCCCTTCACTCTCTCAACCTCAGTTCCATTGATGTAGATGGGGCGTGTTCTCCTTTCTTTCTGAAGTCGATGATCAGTTCTTTACTTTTGCCACATTGAGAGACAGATTGTTTTCATTGCACCATGTCACCAAGCCTTCTATCTCCCTTCTGTATTTTGACTCATCGTTACATGACTTGATAGAGGTGCACAAAATGATCAGAGGTATAGATAGAGTGGACAACCAAAGAACCAGGTAGCTAGTACAAGGGGACATAGTTTCAAAGTGAGTGGAGGTAGATATAGGGGAGACGTCAGAGGTAGGTTCTTTACTCAGAGAGTGGCAGGGGCGTGGAATGCATTGCCAGAGAGGGTAGTGGAGTCACCCTCGTTAGGGACATTTAAGCGGCTATTAGATAGGCATATGGATGATAGTTAAGGTAAGGTTGGAGGTTAGATAGACCTTAGGTTTAGGGTAAAAGTTTGGCACAACATCGTGGGCCGAAGTGCCTGTACTGTGCTGTACTGTTCTATGTTCTATGTACATATGCACCCCACTATAGTGTGTCATCAGCAAACTTGTAGATGGCCTTCATTTGGAATTTGGCAACACAGTCGTAGGTACACAGGAATACAGTAGGGGACTGAGGACACATCCTTCACGGGCTCCAGTGTTGAGTGTTATTGTGGAGGAGACACAGTTACCTATCCTCTCTGTGGCCTATGGGTCAGAAAGCTGAGGATCCATTTGCAGAGGGCGGAACCGAGACCAAGGTCACACAGTTTTAAGATCAGCTTGTGATTTCAAATAAACCTGTTGGGCTGTAGCCTGGTGTTATGTGACTTTGGTGTTCTGACTTATGATTATCGAATTAACAATGTTACAACACCAAGTACAACAAATAAAGAATGCATACATAAATGTGATTGAATTGTCAGGATTCGAGTGCCTGATGGTCAGGCTCAGGGATTACGTTTAGCTTTAGCTGTGAGGGTTAAACACACCTATGGATTAGTGATCAAGTTCTGGGCATTCATGGTCCATGCAGCTTTGTCTGTACAACACTTCTCAATTCATTGACACAAAACGCACACAAAAGTACTTTGAAGGGATTTTTATAGAAAATGTACAAGTTTCAAAACTGCTTAATGTTGCTGGTACAGACTACTGGACAGCTACTGAACTAATCAAGGATATGTCATTTGTCCAGCCTCAAAGAATAAAAACACAAAAGTAACTGCATTTTTCAATGAATGTTTACAAATGGAAATCAGCCGAAGTAACACTTCAGAGCATTTTGTTCCCTCATTACCTGCTATATTATTCAATTACCTGGTCCGATGCCCACTTTGATGATATCAGCTCCTGATAAAATAAGCTCTTCAACCATCTCCCCTGTCACCACGTTACCAGCCTTCAGTTTAAAAAGACAAAAGTGACCAAACATAATAAAATAAAACTCAAAAGCAGAACAGCAGGCACGTTATCTTAAAAGAACACATCTTTGCGTGCCAAGAAGATGATTGTCAGCAAAATTAATGCAAGGAAAATTCATCAGAAAATGATAGGCTATTTCAGCACTTATCACATCAACTATATTTGGAAAGACAAGGACTGATTTTGTCACCTTGGCTTTGTGCGTGGGAAATCATGTCTCACTAACTTAATTGAGTTTTTTAAAGTAGTAACGAAGAGGATTGATGAGGGCAGAGCAGTCGACATGATCTATATGGATTTCACTAAGGCGTTTGGATACAGAACTGGCTCGAAGGTAGAAGACAGAGGGTTGTGGTGAAGGGTTGCTTTTCAGACTGGAAGCCTGTGACCAGCGGTGTGCCACAAAGATTGGTGCTGGGTCCACTGCATTTTGTCATTTATATAACTGATTTGGATGTGAACATAAGAGGTATGGTTAGTAAATTTGCAGATGGCACCAAAATTGGAGGTGTAGTGGACAGTGAAGAAGGTTACCTAAGAGTACAACGGGAATCTTGATCAGATGAGCCAATGGGCCGTGGAGTGACAGATAGAGTTCAATTTAGATAAATGTGAGGTGCTGCATTTTGGAAAGGCAAATCAAGGCAGGACTTATACACTTAATGGTAAGGTCCTGGGGAGTGCTGCTTTACAAAAAGACCTTGGAGTACAAGTTCATAGTTCCTTGAAAGTGGAGTCACAGATAGATAGGATAGTGAAGAAGGCATTTGGTATACTTGCCTTTATTCGTCAGTGCATTGAGTATAGGAGTTTGAGTATAGGATGTTGCAGCTGTACAGGACATTGGTTAGGCCACTTTTGAAATACTACGTGCAATTCTGGTCTCCTTGTTAAAGGAACAATGTTGTGAAACTTGAAAGGGCTCAGAAGGGATTTACAAGGATGTTCCCAGGGTTGGAGGGTTTCAGCTATAGGGAGAATAGGCTGGGGCTATTTTCCCTGGATCATCAGATGCTGAGGGGTAGCCTTGTAGAGGTTTATAAAATAATGAGGGGCATGGATTGGCTGAATAGCCAAGGTCTTTTCCCTGGGGTGGGGGAGTCTAAAACTAGAAGGCATAGGTTTAAGGTGAGAGGGGTAAGATTTAGAAGGGTCCGAAGTGGCAACTTTTTCACGCGGAGGGTGGTGCGTGTATAGAATGAGCTGCCAGAGGAAGTGCTGGATGCTGGTACAAGAACAACATTTAAAAGGCACATGGATGAGTGTATGAATTGGAAGGGTTCAGAGCAATATGGGCCAAGTGCTGACAAATGGGACTAGATTTATATAGGATATCTGGTCTGCATGGACAAGTTGGACCAAAGGATCTGTTTCCGTGCTGTACAACTCTACAACTCTAAATGACAATTGAACCATCATTTTACTTTATCAGCCAACAGAATTCTAAGATGTAGGGGATCTTATCTATCAGCTGGACTCGCACACCACCTCTTTTCATGATGACCTGTTGAATCACATGCCAATCAGGCAGTTGCATAGCCACCAAGGGACCTTCCTCTGGAATGAAGTCCCCATGTGTGAAACCCCACCTAGTGAGCCAATCAAAGGCAGCAGTTTTTTTTGCTTGGCAGCACTGATACAGAGGCTTTGATTGCTGTTTGAAGGTCATCCCTCCCTCTGGATTTCCATGATTATTGAGGACTCAAGTCTCAAGTACATAAATTAAATTTGGGGATAGTTGGGAAAGGAGACAAAGTGGATGTAAGCAAGGGCAGGAAGGCCAGCCCCTTGATCAGACACTGATTGCTGCCCCCAGCCCAATAATGCAGGCCCATTATCTACTCATTGAAACAAATCCCATAAAGAACTACAATTAGCCACAAGATACTCTGATCAATGTTCCTCACTGGAGGTGCTGCCTGGCAAAATTCTCCAGCACATTCTGTTTTAATTTCTGATCTACAGCATTTGCAGTACTTTGTTTCTGTTATAGCAACAGCTGGTTAGTTTTCTTTACTGTTGCCGTATGATCTTAATGATAGATGTCTTTTTCCTAATCCTCGTTATCTGGAAATAAATACTGCAATTTCAGAAATATCAAATTGAATCACATGACTTGTACCGGGTCAGCAATCTTGAATTTCATCAATGCCTCCTTCCTTTTGGCAACCACTGTCAACCACAAAGTATTTTCCAGCTTTTCAACTTGACTGTACTGGAAATGTGTCAAGAAAGAGAGTGGAACCATATTCATACACTCTATGTTGGATTACCCAGTGACTGTCTGCTGCAATAATCTAATATGTTAGAAGATGTTTCACCAGTTGTTTTGTGTGGATGTAATACTCACCATAATTGTGTGTTTCGGAAACTTAGCCCGGACAGTTTTAACTGATTCAACAAAGTATTCTGAGTAACCATTGGCAACATCCAGACAGATGAATTTGATGGCTGGGATTGTTTCCAGAATTGTGTAAAGCTTGTCCAAGTCTTTCTGGCCAGTGCCTGAGCTAACAGCTATGTGCTGAAGGGAGATATCACAACAGAAAGAAAGAGAATGAAAGAATGATTAATCAAGGTGCTGCTTCAAACTGCTATAATCAAAAAGTTAAAAGGGCATTTTGAGTATCTTAAATTCACAATTGGCCTGGAATTCTTTCCATTGGAAATGCATTTCAGAAATTTAGGTTTCAAGGTCAGCAGGCTTCAAATATTTTTCTGTTCCTTTTCAACCTTTCAGGTCTCACAGATCTCCATACTCAAGTACTAATTAAAACAATAAACGTAGAGCTGGACAAACACAGCAGGGTCAGACAGCATCAGACAGCATCTGGATGAAAGGTTTCGGCCTGAAATGTTGACTTTCCTGCTCATCTGATGCTGTCTGACTTGCTGTGTTTGTCCAGCTCCACGTTTATTCACTGTGGCTTTCAGCATCTGCAGTTCTTACTATCTCCTACTAATTATAGCAACCCCAGCTGATGGGAACAGTTTGTGTCAAAAGCCACATTTGTAATATTTATGGTCATGTGCTGCTGAGGCATTAGAAAGCAGAGATGTAAGGTCCAACTATATTTTGGGGTGGGTTCAAACACGAAACTAAGCCTCAATGCTCACAAGAGCAATGGCTTTCCATTCCATCCATTCTGAGGACAAAGATTACATTTTAGCACCATCCATTCCCAACTAAGGAAAGAATTGTCTTCTCTTTAATCCCCACCCGAACACAAATCACCAAAAAAGTGTAAGTGAAATATGCAAAGCACTCCATCACTGACCTAACTGTAAACATAAATAGCAGCAGAGAGATGATAGAGTTTGATCAGAGTACAGATAACATTGTTATTCCATTTTATCTCAAAAAAGAGAGTTTTCAAATACCTCAAGACATTCAGGATGTGATGCTGCAAACTTCTTCCAATCTTCTAGAATGTAGTGTTTATGAATGGCTGTAAACATCGCAAACTACAAAATAAACCAGAATAGTATTTCAGAAAATGGATTGAACACAAATTAAAAGAAATCAGTGGATCTAGTGTTCTGGGAAAACACTTGGTGCCTCAAATGTATACAGCACTAGGATCACTGACCTGCCATTATCAAGCCATTTTCACTAACACAGCTATTTTAACCTTGTCTAAGGTAGTGCATGGTTTCCACATTCAGGTGTTGTGAGACTGACAGCCCTTGACAGCAAAGCTGCATTCAACTGAGTGTGGCATCAAGGAGCCCTGGTAAAACTGGAATCAATGGAAATCCGGGGGCAAAGTCTCCAGTGGTTAGATTCATACCTGACCCATAGGAACGTGGTTGTGGTTGTTGGAAGTCCTGCAGCGATGTCCTGGAGCTGAGTTGACGGAGTTCCTTAGGGTAGTGTCCTAGATCCAAACATCTTCAACTGCTTCATCAATAACCTTCTATCCATCATAAGGTCAGAAGTGGGGATGTTCGCTAATGATTGCACAACATTCAGCATCATTCATGACTCAGATACTGAAGCAGTCCATGTCCAAATGTAACAAGATCTGGCCAATATCCAGGCTTGGGCTGACAAGTGGAGAGTAACATTCATGCCACATGAATGCCAGGCTATGACCGTCACCAATAAGAGACCATCTAACCACTGCCCCTTGATATTCAATGGCGTTACCACCATTGAATTTCCCACTGTCAACATCCTGGGGGTTATCATTGACTAGAAACTCAACTGGACTCACCACATGAACAAAGTGGCTACAAGAGCAGGTCACAGGCTAGGAATACTGTGGCGTGTAATACACCTCCTGACTCCCCAAAACCTGTTAACCATCTATAAGGCACAAGTCAGTGTGTGATAGAATACTCCCCATTTGCCTGGATGAGTGCAGCCCCGACAACACTCAAGATAATTGACACCATCCAGGACAAGGCAGCCCGCTTTATCGACACCACGTCCACAAGCATCCAACCCCTCCACCACCAATGCTCAGTAGCAGCAGTGTGTACTCTCTACAAGATGCACTGCAGAAATTCACCAAAGATCCTCAGACAGCATCTTCCAAACCCACGACAACTTCCATCTAGAAGGCCAAGGACAAAAGATACATGGGAACACAACTACCCTCATGTTTCCCTCCAAGCCACTCACCATGCTGACTTGGAAATATATCGCCATTCCTTCACTGCCGTTGGATCAAAATCCTGGAATTCCCTCCCTAACGGCATTGTGGATCAACCCACAGCAGGTGGACTGCAGTGGTTCAAGAAGGCAGCTCACCACTACCTTCTCAAGGGCAAGTAGGGATGGGCGATAAATGCTGGTCATCCAGTAACGCCCACATCCCACAACTGAGTAATTTTTTAAAAAACTCAACACCCAATCCAGGGCACATTATCAAATAACTTTCAGTTTAATAAGATAACCTCTCACCTGTAAAGGTCAGCATGGATCATAATCTATAGCTTAGTTGGAAATGGCTTTAGTTTCATAAAGTTAGAGCGAGGATCAAGCCCTTTATTACAGCTTATTCCTCATAACCATATAAGTAAAGCAAGCAAGTGAAGCATTTCAATAGGAAAATAAACATTTTAAAACTAGTTTTGAAAGAATGCTATGAATTATGAAAGATTGTGCTTACGTACTTTCTCTAACATTAGTTCAGAATATTCAGCACAGAAAAGTTGGAAATCAGCTGCAGTTTAGTATGTTCTACGCAATATTGTTCTCATGATTATGGACTAGAATAATCTAAATCCCTGGTATTCAAATGAGGGCAGGGTTCATGTGCAGGTGGTGATCATAACTGGCTCCTAATGAGCTAATGGTGTCTGTAGGAAGTGTGTAAATAATGTTATTTTAAAATATGTTTTCATACGACTTACAGTGAAGGGTCTGGGTGTTGTGAATGAAGGACATTGAGGAGATGATTAAGTAGGATTACCTGTGTTATAAAACACAGAACCAGACCAATTCACACCAACCAGTTCATGTCCCATTCCAGCTTCTTCGCGGTTTTCATAGAAACATAGAAAATAGGAGCAGGAGTAGTCCATTCAGCCCATTATTCCTGCTTCACTATTCAATATGATTACCGTTGATCTTTTATCTCAACGTTATATTCCTGCTTCCCCACATACTCCTTGTTACCTTTAATTTCTAGTAATATATTTATTCTTCCTCAACCATATTCAGTGACCTGGCTGCCACAGCTTTCTGTTGTTGAGAATGCCACAAATTCAACACCCTATGAGAGAAGAAATCTTTCCTCACCTCAGTCAGTAAAGGCCTACCCGGTATCCCGAGACCGTGACCCCTCATTCTGCAACCACCTCCGCCCACCCTACCATCGTGCAAGCCTGGGAAACCCAATCTCTGCATTCTAGTCTGTCAAGCCTTGTCAGAATTTTATGTTGCAATGAGATCCCCTTTCATTCTTCAAAACACCAGTGAATACAAGACCAGTTAATCCAAACTCTCCTCATACAACAAACCTGTCACCCAGGAATCAGTCTGGTTCTTCTGTACTAAATTAACTTTGTCAACTTTCTATTCCTTTCTCTCTCAAATATTTGTCTATTTTCCCCCGAAATGCATGTAAACTATTCATTTTAACCACTTCCTGAGGTAGTGAGTTCTACATTCTCATCACACTTTTGGCAAAGAAGTTTCTTCTGAACTCATTTCTAGATTTCTTGGTGACTATCTTATATTGACGAACTCTGGTTATGCTCTTCCCCACAAACAGAAACATTCTCTCTGGATCTATGTTATCAAAATATTCATAATTTTAAAGACTTCTACTGCACAGCCTCCTTTATGTTTTAACAGCAAAGAGATCCAGCCTCTCTGTTCTTTCCCAATAAGTAAACTCAGATATTCCTGGTGTAATCCTTATAAATCTCTCTTTCTTTTCTCTATTTTTCTCTTGTTAGAGATTAACATTAGCTAGCATTCATCTGGTATGGACATAACCAGTTATTTTTCAACTCAAGCCTCGATATTGTCCAAGCCTTGTTGTAGCCTGGTATGAGTTGTTTCATTGTTGGAGTAGTTGCAAATAGAGATTGTCATTGTGCAATCATCAATAAACACCCCTAACTTTATGACAGTTCATAGGTCATTAATGAAGACGATGATGAATGGTGACTAGTGAAAATGGTTGGGATGAAGATGCTCCCCAGAGGAACACTTATACAGATGTGATGATGTTGCAATTATCATCATCATTTTCTTGTGTCAGATATGAATTCAGCCATTGGAAAATTTCCCCTGCTTCCCCCATTGTTAGCCTTACCAGGTGCTTCTTGGTGCCATTACTTTATCAAAAATCACCTCACTAATTGAATCTTTGAAACTTATGGCACACAAGAAAGCCATTCAAACCATGGTGCTCATACTGGTTCTTTAAAACAACAGTTGTGCTTAACTTCACAACTCAATTTTGGCCATAACCGGATAAGTTCCTCAATTACCTGTTCAGTTCCCTTTTAAAATTATTTATGAAATCAATTTCAATCATTTTTTCAGGCAGAATGTTCTATATCCCAGCAACATTTGTCCTCTTTGGTCTAGATATTTTACCAATTATTTTAAATTTATAACTTCTAGTTATTGATCCACTCATCAGAAGGATTAATTTTTTTCCTCCATCAATGTAATGAAAGTCTCATATTGTAAAAACCTCTGTTAGGTGCCTTTTAACCTTCTATATCTCAAAGTTACAACAATCCTAACTTTTCCAACTTCTCCTCATCACCGAAATCCCTCATCCTTGCTTAAATCTTGGTAATTTTTCACCGCATCCTTTCATAGATCTATATCTTCCTTAAAAAGTGGTGCCAGAATTATCCATAACACTCCAAGTGAGGTCTAAGCAATGATTTATAAAGTTCCTATATTATATCTATACTAAATTGAGGGCAACTGCTCTCAGTTTTCTGGCACTGAGCTCTTACATTGTCGCCTGAGTCAAGGCTACAATAAGTTTGTGCCTGCACAGTTCTGAATAGACTCACATTCATGAGTGCACAAAACAGGAATTTGAGCATGGAGTTCAGTTAGCTTCCTGCAGCCATCTGTTGATTAACATAACAGCTGCTCATTAACAACTGCAGTGCAGATGCAGCTTTAATTCAAAGTCACTGTCTAAGGAAAGTAATTTGAGCCCTAACTCTAAATTCACACTTCAAATATTAATGATCAGTGTGAAGTAAGCATTACTTTCAATTATATTAAGAAATTACCCATAAATTTCAATGTTTAGCTACCTGAAGTTAGATTTTCTACAGACGTTTTTTGGAAAGGGGAACAAAGGACAATGAAATTAAATTCTGGAATCAGCATGGAGACTTTGATTTGAGTGAAACCTACACAAACCTGTGGCACCAAGGAAATCTCTGAAATACCTTCAAGTTCATCATCTGAAATGAGGTCAGTATCACTACTATCTCTAGCACTCAAGTAGAATAAACCATCATTCTATGAAAAAAAAACTCTGAGTAATGTACCTAAAAGCTGGTTTGGATTGGGATCTAACAAATCAGTGATAGGATGCTGCAAATACACTGCAAGGCTTGCCATGGTGCACCAGTGTGAACTGACTCAAACAACATCCAGAGAGCAGTCAGCTCTGGTCCCTTCATCCCTGCCACAACCAACTTAAAGAAATTTTCAACATTATTTCATAGCCAGTGTTGATTAGTCACAAGGCAGCTTATAAAGCAAGGATGAATCAAGCCATTGGAAAGGAGCCAATAGTCCAGACGGTTGTGAAGATGGCTGAATAAACATGTGGGGAGATCATCAAGCTACTTGATGTAAGTTACTATCATTGAACCATGAGCCACTTTCCTTTGCTTGTACTTGTTGAGAAACTAAATGGTATGTATCTTAGAAACACCAATGGGAGTCGAACACAAGTGTGAACCTTCATTCACTTCCTATTCGAGGTTGTTCATTAGGCCTATGACACTTAGGTGCAATCCGC